GCTATTTTACTTACTGAATTTGGGCCTTTTAATCTTCTTTGTCATTTCTTTATTTGAGTGTATTCCAGTCACCAGCAAAACTGCATGAAAAAAATGCAAAAATATCTAATCAATATTAATTCACCCAAATACTTCTCTCTTTGATCTTTATATTCGTTTCAATCACATGTTAAAGTATCCTCATTAGTAGAACCAATTTTCCCTGATTTTATGGTTTGGGAAATAAGATGTATCCTTTGTGCTTTTCTAAGCCTCTGCTGAAAGGGTCTTTCAAAAATACCTCTTGGATACCTGTCCTTTGTTTTGCTGTCTTTAAATTTCACCACATCAACTCTACTGTCTCCACTTTCAAAGGTGGGAATGTGGGTCTGGAGAAGTCCACTGATTTGCTTGGTCCCAGGAATAAAGGATGAGCACCCAGGCCCTTCTTGTGCTCTTTTATCTATTCCACACTGAGTTTCTAAATGGCCAGTTTCCAAAATACCAGAGAACTGCCTTGCATGTGTGTGCGAGAGTGACAGAGGCCAACGGAGGGGATGTGTTAACAGCCTCAGAGGAAGAATCTGAAAAGGAAGACGAGGAGGAAGGGGACTGGGAAGAAGAGAGAGAGAGAGACTCCTCACAAGGTGTGGTGTGACCTGACTGTCCCCCGGTGGCCCTCCTCCAGCGGCACCTGGTTCTGTGACCCTTAGAGGGCAGCTGCAGGTGGGCGGGCTTCCTTCTCAGAAACTAAAGCAGAACCTCAGCCAGCATACTGCGGATGGATACTGCTCTCCTTCAGGGAGCGTAACAATAGGGGAAGAAAGAGGAATTCTTTATCTTTTTAAAATTTAAAGTCACATTACCAGTTTGAGCCTTGTGTTTTTAAAATATAACATTTACTGATTTTTGTCTTACTACCAAAACAATATATGTTCCTTGTAGAACAATGTAAAACACACACACACACAAAACAGTACTACAGAAAATACAGATGAACACAAAAGTAGAGTATTTTTCAGGCTTTTTCTGTATGTCTGTTTTCATATGGGTACGTTTTTACTGAGTTTAACGCCGATTAAAAAAATTTTTTTTAATTGAAGTATAGATGATTTACAATGCTGTATTTGTTTCTGTGTACAACACAGTGTTTCAGTTATACATATATATAGTCTTTTTCATTATAGGTTATTATAAGATATTGAATATAGTTCCCTGTGTTGTATAGTAGGACCTTATTATTTATCTATTTTATATATAATAGTGTGTATCTGCTAATCCCAAACACCTAATTTATCCTTCCCCTACCTTTCCCCTTTGGTAACCTATCTCTGTGAGCCTGTTTCTGATTTGTAAATAAGTTCATTTGTATCATTTTTTAGATTCCACATACAAGTGATGTCATATGGTATTTATGTTTCTCTGACTTACTTCACTTAGTATGATAATCTCTAGGTCCATCCATGTTGCTGCAAATGGCATTATTTCATTTTTATGTGTGTGTGGCTGAGTAGTATTTTGTTGTCTATATATACACCACATCTTCTTTCTCCAGTCATCTGTCAATGGACATTTAGGTTGCTTCCATGTCTTGACTATTGTAAATAGTGCTGCTATGAACATTGGGGTGCATGTATCTTTTCAAATTAGAGTTTTCTCTGGATATGTGCCCAAGAGTAGGATTGCTGGATCATATGGTAACTCTATTTTTAGTTCTTAAAGGAACCTCCAAACTATTCTCCACAGTGGCTGCACCAAATTATATTCCCACCAACAGCGCAGGAGGGTTCCGTTTTCTCCACACCCTCCTTAGCACTTGTTGTTTGTGGACTTCTTGATGATGGCCATTCTGATCAGTGTGAGGTGATACCTCATTGCAGTTTTGGTTTGCATTTGTCTGATAATTAGCAACATTGAGCATCTTTTCATGTGCCTATTGGCCCTCTGCATGTCTTCTTTGAAGAAATGTCTGTTCAGGTCTTCTGACAATTTTTGGATTGGGTTGTTAGTTTTCTTGTTGTTTAGTTGTATGAGCTGTTTGTGTAGTTTGGAAATTAATCCCTTGTCAGTCACATTGTTTGCAAATATTCTCTCCCAGTCTATAGGTTGTCTTTTCATTTTATTTATGGTTTCTTTTGTTGAGCAATCACTTATAAGTTTGATTAGGTCCCATTTGTTTATTTTTGCTTTTATTTCTATTGCGTTGGGAGACTGACCTACGAAAACATTGCTATGATTTGTATCAGAGAATGCTTTGCCTGTGTTCTCTTCTAGGAGTTTTATGGTGTCCTGTCTTATATTTAAGTCTTCAAGCCATTTTGAGTTTATTTTTCTAACTTCATTGATTTACATTTGGCTGTCCAGCTTTCCCAGCACTACTTGTGAAGAGACTTCTTTTCTCCATCCTTGTGGAATATTAATTGACTGTGGGTGTGTGGGTTTATTTCTGGGCTCTCTATTCTGTTCCATTCCATTGATCCATATGTCTTTTTTTTGTGCCAATACCACACTGTTTTGATTATTGTAGCTCTGCAGTATTGTCTGAAGTCTGGGAGGATTCTGCCCCCAGCTGTGTTCTTTTTCCTGAGTTTTGCTTTGGCAGTACTGGGTCTTTGTGGTTTCTATACAGGTACTAAACAAACATTTGATGATGCTCATACCGTTTACAGTGTGTTATAACTTATTGCTACTTAAGGATATTTAGAAACACTTTTTCTTGTCATTTAATGTCCCTCTCCCAATAATTTTAACTGCCTGCAAAATATTGCAATGTGTGGATATATCATAATTTAGCTAAATCCTAATGTAATGTAAATAGCTTCATCTTTGCACTGATCCCTTATTATCTCCTTAAAATACAGTTCCAAATAGGATTTCTTGTCTGAAAGATATGCCCACTTAAAAATTTGATACATATTGTGAAATTTTCTCATAGCAATTTTTTTATTACTAATGTCTGAAAATGCTCACTTCTGTCTACCTATGCTAATTTTGCCTGTAGACAGAAAAGCATGTTTTTCCTTTTATAAGGCTAGTCAGTCTCTATTCTTATTCTGTCCTCCTCAGGCATTCTTCTACCTGACCCAACCAAAGATGGTACTGCTCTAACTTACCTCCATTTTAGCCATCTTTTTTTGAGAAACCCACTTTCTAGGTGGAGCTGGAATTCTGGAGATGAACATGAGGCAGCTGAGTAATCAAAATAGGCATTTTACTTCCTAGTTATGCCTTTTTTTTTTTTTAACAGAACACAGATGCTCCATTAAGGGATAAATCAGGACTCAGGAATTCTTGAATTGGCAACTATTTTTGAAGGAAAAAGTGGCCCTGTCACCAAGTGTTTGTTAAGAAAACTTTTATTTATTTTATGGATTATCTATAGCTAAGCTGTGCCAGTGATGTAGCTCCTGAATTATCCCCAGTTTTGACTACTAGCTTAGTTGAGGCCTGGACAGTTGACATACCATGTCCTGCAAGAACAAAACTGTGAAAGAGAACTGAGTGAGCACCAAAAGTCTAGCCAAGTAGAATGAAGGCAGACATTTTTTAGGTGTTATTTACTTCTGGGGTTTGGGTGGGTTTGAGTGTCCTGGAGGTCTAATGTTTATAGTAGTCTCTGTGTCACTTAACTCTGTCCAAAGACCGCATCTTCATTTTATACACAAAAATAAATAACTAGAATTCTAGAATATTTTTAAAAACAAGTATGAAATATTATATAGAAAAAACTTATGCAAGTTAAGTAGGGGGAGTAAGTGAATAGTTTTAAATGTGGGTCTCAGTTCTTGGTGGAAAACAAAATACTGTCCTTCTAGGGCTGTGTGCCTGTGGCAAGTGGTTTATAAGACTTGGTATCATTAGAACTATAAATATTTCAGTAAGACCACCCCAACACTCACATTTGCTCGCCCAGGACCCTCCATGCTGAAAACATGAAGAGCTGGGTTCAGCTTTACAGCAGCAGTTAATAAAGTCATTATTCTCGGTGGTACACAGAGCCCCTCCCCTCAGCTTCCATCCTTGTTAATTAAAGCTCCCCAGAAACCACTCCTCAAGAGGAGGGCTGGTCAGTCAGGCTGCAGATGTGCTCGTGCCCTGAAGCAAGTCTTCATTCCTCTTCAGCAAGACGTCTCTTGCTACCTTGGAAATGGTGACTTGCACATGGAATTTGGGTGAGAGAAAAATCAACATTGTGTTCCTCTTCTTAGGAAGCCAGGCAAAGTGCTGAGATGGATAGTGGATGCTCACTTGGAAGTACAAGGCAGAACACACTTCTGAATTTGTGGGATTAGTTATCTGGCCACTGAGGCCATTAGAGTCTAGAAGCCTTGAGGAGAAATCAAGTCTAGAGGCCGAAGTTCCAACGCGATCATGATTTACCAACTCTGCAGCCATACTTCTCAAATTTTTTTTCTTAGTTTTTTTGTGGGGGGCTGGCTAGGTAATTAGGTCTATTAGTTTAATTATTTTTTTCAGTGGAGGTGCTGGGAACTGAACCCAGGAATTCGTGCATGCTGAGCACGTGCTCTACCACTTGAGCTAGATCCTCCCCCCTTTTTGGGGAAGGGGGTAGGTAATTAGGTTTATTTATTTATTTTGTTAGTGGAGGTACTGGGGATTGAACCTAGGACCTCATGTATGCTAGGCACACACTGCCACTGAGCTATACCCTCCCCTGCTCATATTTCTCAGTTTTAAAACTTCAGTGTTCCAGTTTTGACTAACATGAAAAGTTCTCACCTTTCACTAGTCATGCTTGAAATTTCAAAACAAATTAAATGTTGAACTTATTTTTTCAAATAAAAAGTTTCCCTCTACTTCTCTTTCTCTTCCTCTAGTGTGGCCATCAGTACAGTTAACTGTTTAATTGTTTAAAATTCAATTTCAGTAAATTATCATCCAGCTAATTTATAGGGAGAATACAAATGAATTAGCTTAAAACAATGTTCAGTCTCATTAATGATAAAGCGAAACGACAGGATATTTTCCCATATAGTGTATTGAATACTGAACACAAGATTATCCAGTACTCTGTTGGTAAATTCTAAGCAGGTGCAGGAGTCCTTCTGGAAAGCCATTTGATAATACATTTCAATAGCCTTAAAAACATTTATGTGCTTTGCCCTAAAAAATAGATACCTAGTGATATATCCCAAGTTATAATCAGAGATACAGACAAAGATTTATGTAAAGATGTTCATTACAGCATTATTGCTAATAGCAATCTGGAAATAATGAAATGTTGGAAATGTTCCAACAATGGGGAAATCCTAAGCATTTGTTGCAGATGATGTGTAACAGAACACTGAACGACTGTGGAAGTATGAGCTCCAACCTTAAGGACGATTCTGACAAAATTAGAATATATGCAGAAGAAGTACCTCAGACAAATATACCAAAATGTTAATAATGGTGGAGATATAATTCCTATTTTATATTTTCTACGTTTTTCCCATTTCCTAGTATATTTCATATATATATATATATATTTATTTATGTAGAATGTTTCTTTCTAATTAGAAAAAGACAATTATTTTTTAATTTGGTCATATTGAAATCACATAGACATATAATAATGAAAAGTGCTTTCTAAAGTCTTTAGCGTGGTTAATACTCACTTGTGTTTCTGTTTTCCTATCAGTAATAAATTATAACCAGAATCCATTTACTTTCAAGAAAAGACATGAAATGCTGAAACATATAACCAATGATCAAATCAGTAAGTACTTACTGAGGATTTATTATGTGTCTAGAACTTTTATTGGAATGCCTCCTTCCAGCCCATGAACTTCTTGCTTGACTTCTTGGTGCCCTCAAGATACTAACCCAGGTGGTGTTCACAGGAATTCTTTCCTTGACCAAACTTGAGTCAGGCTCCTCTACGCCCTCTTCTCAACTAAGCTTCGACCTTGGGCTTCTGTGTCTGTCCTTGTTGGGCCTGCATCACTCAGTTTTAGCAAGAATCTTGTTTAGAGAGAATCCTCCACCCTCGATATCTGATCGCCCTGGTCTGCCTTTAGTCGGAATCCTGTCCGGTTGGTTTAGCAAGAATCCCCCTACTCCCTTTGATGTCTCCTCTTAGTAATTCCCATCCCCTGACCCCTGCAACCTGCTCCTTGGCTATAAATCCCCACTTGTCCTTGTTGTGTTTGAAACTGAGCCCAGTTCTCCTGATTCTGTACTGAGGTCTCCTTCCCCCTGTTGCAGGGTTTCCTGATGAAAATCTGTTTTTACTGCTTTGAATACTGCCCAGCTCTGGTGGTCTTTAACAGTGTCCACAGTGCCTTCCTGAAAACTGATTTATACAGCAGATCATTTTAAATCAGCTCAGATCTCCCCTATGCTTTGATTTGGAGTTACACACTCAGTGGAACATCTAGCATCAAATATATCAGAGCTTCATAGCATGGGTAGGACAGTTTATCCTCTCTGTTCACATAAATCACAAAATTATGCTTCGAATCATAGAATAGTAAAGCTGGGAGGAGCTTTGGAGGTCATCTGTTTTGTAGAAAAGAAACTCAGGTCCAGGTTGACCCCTTGGCTAAAGCTGTGGTTTTGGGTGGCGGGTGGGGGTGGTTGTGGGCAGAAGCTGGAACCAGAACGCATGTTTGCTGGGGCAGCCTTCGGCTCTGCGTGCTGCTTTGTCCCCATGAGTGCAGTCAGGGATTATACATGGAGCTCCAGTGACGATGGGCAGCACTGCTACGTCATAAACGGAAACGTATCTAGAGCAAACATTCTAGCTCTGATGTTTATTAATTAAACACTTAATTGACATTAATTTAGAGGGCTTTTGGGAGGTCATTGGATGGTTCTGTGTGATATTGTGGTTTATGATAAATACGTATTTTGGCCTTCTGACCACAGGTCGTGGCTGGCAGCTCCCAAACCCTTGGAATGTCCTGAGCGATAAGAGCAATGGGAGTACCTTTTGTTATAATATTTGGTTTCTTGTCCTCAGTTCCTGAAATCAGAGCCATAAAGACGAAATGGGCGTCTTGTTATTCATAACAAGCCCGTTTCAATCACAACTGAGCTTATGTTAATGAGGTGGCTTTTGGGAATCCCCTCAAGATGAGTTGGAATTTTCAGTCCTATCTCCTGATTACCCAGGAGGAAAGAGGGCCTGGAGATTCAATCAGTCACCAACAGCCGAAGAATTAATCAATCATGTCTATGCAATGAAACCTCCATAGAAACCCAAAGGGAGGGGGTTCAAAGAGCTTTCAGACTGGGGGCCTGAATTCCGCGGAGACAGAAGCTTCTTTGTTCAGGACCTTGCCCTTTGTATCTCCTTATCTTGCTGTTGATTTGTATCCTTTAATATCCTTTGTAATGAACTGGTAATCTAGTGGGTAAACTGGTTTCCTGGGTTCTGTGAGCTACTCGACCCAAGGAGGGGGCCATGGGAAATTGTGATTTATAGCCAGTCAGGCAGAAGCACAGGTGACAGCCTGGCTTGCAGTGCTGGCAGTGTGACGGGCAGGAGGGCAGGTGGGGAGTCTTGTGGGACTGAGCCCTCAGCCTGTGGGGTCAGATCCTATCTCGGGGCAGATAGTATCAGAACTGAGCTGAGTTGTAGGACACCCAGCTGGAGTTGCGGAATGACTTCGTGTGGGGAGAAAACTCACACATAGGTATTGCGGGCAGAGTCAGACTCTGATACCTCAAAAAATCCAGCATCCCTGACGAGAACAATTTATTTAGCAATATTTCTCGAGTGCCTCTGAGATGTGCTGAGAACTGAAAATGCAACAATGAACAAGACACAGCTCTTGCCTTTGGTGAGTTACAGTTTGGGAGAAGCCAGAATAATGATGCGGTGAATGTCATGCAGCTGTGATCAGAATCAATACAAGGGTCCAAGGAAACATGGAGGAAGATGGTCTGATCAAATGGAGGGCAGAGGAAGCTTCCTGGAGGACCATTAGGTGTGTGGGAGTGAGAGGAAGAGCATTCCAGGAAAGGGAACAGCAGAGTCAAAGACCTGGAGGTGAGAAATGACTCTGCCTTAAAGGGCATGAGAAGGTCCCCAGAAGCCGGGGGGGGGTCCTATGTTAGGGGGGAGAGCAGGAGAGGACAGCCAGGGCCATATCAGAGAGGGCTCACCTGCAAGTAAGGTGAGTGTTAAGAGACATGGATTCCATCGTAAAGACAAAGGGCAAACCCTGAGTGTTAAATCAAGGAGTGGTGATCGGACATGTGCTTTAGGGAGGTTATTTGGGGTGTGGTAGAGAATGAGTTAGGTAAGGATTTGAGGCAGGGAGGCTGTCACAGTACTGAAGAGGGTCCCGGGGGACTAGAGGGAAATGGCCCTGGCATGGAGACAGCAGGTGAGTAAGACATACCGGGGAGGGGCATATAAGGACAGGGAGGACATTTGTGGCGTCTCCCTTTTCTACTTTGATTTCTTGCTTTCTGAGTGAGCGACCCCAAGAGGAAAAGAGTTTTGCAGAAGGGCAGGCTGAGAGGACAATCAAGTTCTTCTTGGTTCCATGATACTGGGGACATGGCTGTGTCAAGTGGCCTCAGTGTTTGTATGGTTTTGTTTTGTTTTACAGTAGCTAATCCTTCCTGTTCCTAACCTCCTGCCCTACCCCCAGCCCACCTTATGTTAGAAACCAAGAAACCCTGTAGGTTAGTACAGGGGCCGGAGACAGCCTCCCAAAAGGGCAAAGGGGAAATAAAGGACCCTGTGCTCTCAAGATGAATATTCCTTAGCAAGTTGATGGTGGAATCTGGACCAGAACTCTTCTCTTCCCTCCGACTCCCAGCCTAGTGTCCCTCCACCACGCCAAATGCCCCCTCACCTTCACAGCTATGTGTCTTCTCCCTCCTCCAGTCTTCCGTCTACCATGCAGACTCTGTCTACACAGGTCTTGAACATTCTGACTATGTTATGGGTTGAGTTGTGTTTCCCCCACCCCAGATTCATGGGATTTCATGTTGAAGTCCTAGCCCCCAGTACCTCAGAAGGTGTCCTCAACTGGAGGTAGGGTGGTTGTAGATGTAATTAAAGTTAGGATGCAGTCACACTGGAGTAGGCTGGGCCCCCGATCCAATATGACTGGTGTTACCAAAAGGGGACATTTGGATACAGACACGGACACACTCAGGGAGAACACCATGTGAAGATGGAGGGCAGAGATTGGGGCGATGCCAAGGAAAGCCAAAGACTGCCAGCAAGCCAACCAGAAGCTCAGAGAGAGTCATGGAGCAGATTTCACCTTCACAGCCCCCTGAAAGAGCCAGCCCTGCTGACATGGTGATTTTAGATTTCTAGCCTCCAGAATTGTGAGAGGATAAAACTCTGTTGCTCTCAGCCACGCAGTTTGTGGTATTTTGTTATGGCTGCTCTAGTAAACTAACACCGACTGTCTGAAAGGGCTTTGTACCCTGCGCTGGCAGTAGTTTTACAGTGACCCACAGGATCACTCTACCTGACAAGGCTACAGCCTTGGGGTCAAGACTAGCAGAAGATTAACCTTGGGCTTAGTGCTGAACCCATCATCGCTTTTCTTCTGGTTGGCCTGCTGCTCCCTCACGGCCCAACCCAAATTGTGTTCTCTGATAACAATGGATAAATTTAAACGTTTTCATCTCTAAGAGTATGAGTTGCCGTTAGGTCCAAGTAAGACCATGTCATTGATAAGAATTTTTTTTCTTGAGAAATTAAGAAACAAGAAGATCCCTAAATTCAGAACCTGTAAATATGCTCTATCTGAAATATTTGCTAGTTGCATATACATACAAATATGTGTGTGTGTATATGTGTGCATGAGGTGTAATGCATAGAGGCAACATATGTAATACATATATTTGCTCTCTATAAAAAATATATAGACACACATCCTGAATTTGATCTACGTTTAGCATTTGCAGTTAAACATCTCTCCAAAATGTTTATTATAAAAAGATACACTGAACTGTTTATATGCTCTGTCTTGGTTTAAACCTCTTCTTGGCAGGATTCTGTGGACATTAGGAGGATGTTAAAAGCGTATCCAGATACACATATAAAAGTACTTACCAAGGAACACTTCAATAACAGATGCCTTCATAGTGAGGACAACAATCCCCATAAATGCCAAAATGGCACCCTAGGGAGGAAGAAACAGTAACACCGTCATATTTCAGCCAAGAGTTCTGCATTGGATGCTCAGAGTGTAGGGAGGGGCTGCCTCATTTTGCATTGCCCTCTGGAGTCTTAGGATTTCAAGCTGTGGCTTTCTGTAAACACCTCACAGAGATGGCAGTGGCTATCCGCGCTGGTACCCAGAGAGTCTGTTCTCAGTTGGAAAACCTACTCTAGCCACCAGCCTCCTCTTCTTCAGAGACCTGGCCTTAGAACTGAAGAGGAAATAATTCCACAATTTCGAGGATGTGTTCAACCAGCCTTCAAATTAGGACAAAAGCCACATTTATGGTATTCAGAGAACATTTTTAGATTACAAACTGTTTTATATTACAAAGACTATCCATTCATTATTCATTCAGTAAATATTTATTAAACGTATATGGCTAGGTATTGTTAGAGAGGAAGCTATAAAATTGAATTAAGAATAGTTCCTGTTCTTAAAAGATTTATACTTTCATAGATGTGGGAAAACATATGTAGACACAAAAAACATAATATTAGACAGTGTGCAGGCCCCAAAAGGGAGAATAAGGGGGGCTTTACAGGCCAGTGGTTCTCAAACTTCGCTGCATATTAGTATCATCTGGGAGTTTTAAAAGGCCCTGATACTCAGGCTGCACCTCATACCAATTGAAATAGAATTTCTTGGGGGTGAGATCTAGGCATTAAGCTTTTTAAAAATCTCCCCAGGCAATTCCAAGTATGCAGCCAAGTTCGAGAACCAATGATTTAGAGCAAGGCTTCCTAAATCTTAATACGAATCACCTGGGGATTTTATTATAATGCAGATTCTAATCCAGTAGGTCTGAGACAGTGCCAGAGAGTCCCCAAGAACTCAGGGAATTTTAGAGGAAGAAGAGATTATGTCAGCTGTGGGAATAAGACAGAGCCTCATAGAGCTGGCAGCAACTGGGTCAACTCTGCAAGATGAAAATATGAGATGAATTGGCTCCAGGTTGGGGGTTGAGGAGGGGGAACAGCACTGACAGAGGCTTAGAGATTGGAAAGCACAGTGGATAAGAAGATGCTGTTGATCTATTAGGAGTTCCCCTTCACTAAGGCTATGAGACCCTTGAAGGTATCTTCACACCACTGTTAATTGAACACATACGGTGCATGCTACATAGTGTAGAATCTGCACACTGAGCAGGATAGCAGATTTTATGATCCCAGCTGAACAGATAAGGAAACTTAAGACATAGAAAGAGAAAATGTTATACTCCTGGTGATCAGGCAGTAAGTATGATTAGAGTGGAGGTGGGAGTAGGTGGGAAGGATCTGCCCTGGGTTTAGGCAGTAAGGAAGCACATTGTCTGTAGAGAATTTAAAGACTTAAAATCGTTCTGCTTTCTGTTATCCTTATAAACCAGCAACTCTAAGCACTGTCCGTGATAAAGCCCTCTTCCTCTCTGTGGCAGGTGGCTCCCACTGCATCCTCTCCCCCCAGTGCCACTGCTGTGTGGCCTTTAGGCTCTAGCTGGCATTCATAACCCTATAACCCATATACCCTCTGGTATGCCCAGGGGTGTTCTGGGAAACCTGCTGTCTGGGAAAAAAAAAAATCCCTGATTTAGAGCATTTGCCAATTTCTGTGTTGTAAATCCTCCCACTGTAGCTGATTTTGAAGCGACCAAAGTGGTGTTACTGCATGGAGATTTGGAAAGAGATAAACACAATCTGGTACTAGCTAGGTCTAGAGCAAGCTTATGTTTAATATTAGGATACAGTGCTGTGCAGAGTTTATTAACAAGAAGCAATTATTAGAATTATGGTTTAGGCAGTAATACAAGCACTTGATGCAATTAACTTAAATAACACTGTTCAGTATATGAAAAGCTTTATTACAAACAATTAAATTAGGCAGCAAGAGTAAGTCCAAACAGAAACCATCACTTTGCCGATTTCTAGCAACAGTTGCAATGTGTTAAAAAAATTTTCCTAATTAAGGTAGTTGACCACTGGCTAAGAAATAGGCAAATAATGGTTTTTATCTTCAAAATAAAAATGGTCATACATACAATCTATTAAATAGCTGAGTCATATTTCGGAAATAGTGTGATAACAAGTACACTTTTTTGTCTTTTATTAATTTGAAAAGTTGCAGATCAACTCGTATGTTTTCAGGCCTACAAATGTAAGTCTTGGAATAAATGCAGGATATTAAGCTCTCCTACCAGACTAGCCTAACTAGCTCCACCTAACTAGCTCCTCCAAATGGCTGTTACCATCCAGCACTGGACACTTTGTGAATCATCTTAGATTTCTTTCTCTCATGTCCCACATCTTTTCCATCAGCCAAGCCTGTTGGCTGTACATTCATAATACATCCAGAATCTGACCACTTGTCATCATCTTTACCATTGCCGCCTGGCCCAGGCCATGGGTTCACTGGGTTATTGCACTTAGCCTCCTATCCAGCTGTGTCCCTCTGCACACTGAAGTCTACACAGCAACCAGCGTGTTCTTGCTCAGCGTCAGTCAGTTCATGGCACTCCTCAGATGAAAACTTCTCTGGTTTTCTACCTTACTCAGAATAAAAGGTACAATCTTGGCAAATGGCTCAGGACCCCACAAGACTGGCCACCGTTCGCCCCTCTGACCTCATTTCCTTCTATTCTCCTCACGTATTAAATTCCAGGCACAGCCAGCTCATTTCTAAAACACACCTCTCCCCTCAGGGTCTCTGAGCTTACTGTTAACTCTACCTGGATGCCCTGCCCCCAGGTCAGAACATAATTTACTCCCTCATTTCTTTCAAGTCTTTGCCTAAACATTATCTTCTCTTGAGATATCCCTCATCACCCAACTTAAATTTGCAATCCCTGTCCCACGCATCATCATCCGTACACCCTGTCCTTTCCCTACTATCTTGGTTGCCAGTCACTTATCACCTCCGACAGACTCCATACTTTGCTGATTGTATTTGTTTATTGTTTGTGTTCTCCACTGGAAGGCAAGCTCTGTGAGGGCAGGGATTTTGATTTGATTTGATTTTTTTTATGTGCTTAGTAACTATACTGAATCAATGAATGAGTCGTTAGGGCTCCTTCCTGTCCCTGGGAAATAAAGAAAAAAAAACAAAACAAAAGGAAGACAATCTGTAAATAGTCTAAAAGCTACTGAATTGTACACTTTCAATGGTGTATTTTATGGTATGTGGATTATATTTCAGTAAGCATTATTGATAGTCAACAAACATACCAAAAGGAGAGAAGAAATTGCAGAGAGAAGGGCTCTCAGATCTGTCCTATGACTTGAGAAGACACGATGGACCTGACCTTTACACACAGGGATGAATGGAGCAGGGGAAAAAAACAGGATTCCAGGAAACATGCTAACCCCAGAGGAGGTATCACCCCAGTGCTGACTCATCAGGAGTGGAACCCGACCAGAATCGCTCTCGCCTCTTGGAATCAGAATGGTTTGAGGCTTCTTTCCTACCACTTCAGTTTCTCTCCTTACTTGGTTCATTTACTTATACATTTAAAATATAAATGTGCCGTTTGAAATGTGTGAAAAAAAATTCAAACCCTCTCTCAGCCCTTCCAAAAACTGGGCATAGGGATGGCCACCAGCACTGTTAAGCAGTTTCTACAGGCAGTTCCACGTCAGGGAGCTGTGGTCTCATAGTAATGTTGGAACCGTAATATCTTATGTGCCCAGCAGGGTTCTCACAAAAATGGAACAACAGAGGTTTTCAAAAGAACGTGTTCCTGATTCATAAATTTGTGGACTGGTCTGTGAGATGTAATATAAAGAGTCCTGAATATGAAATTCTGGTGAGACAAATGAAGGCTGCTGTGAGATAAAAATATAATTAATGTAAGAAGAGTAGCCAACCAATTTAATTAGATCTCTTGCTGCCCAGAGTTAGAAGATAAATAATAATACTGCCTTATAATTTTAAGGTTCTTCACAGTTTTCTCCTCCAATTTTTAAAATTATGGTAAAATACAAAAACATAAAATTGGCTATCTTAACCATTTTTAAGTGTACAATTCGGCAGTATTAAATAAATTCGTAATGTGCTGTCATCACCATTATCCACCTTAAGAACTCTTTTTGTCTTGTAAAATTGAAACTTTATGCCCAGTAAACAATAACTCTCTATCCTCCTCTTTCCCTGGCCCCTGGCAACCACCATTCTGCTGTCTCTGTGATTTTGACTACTCTAACTATCTCTTATAAGTAGAATCATAGTAATTTCTTTTTGTGACTGGCCTATGTCAAACAGCATAATGTTCTCAAGGTTCTTCCATGTTGTAGCATATGACAGACTTCCTTTCCTTTTTAAGGCTACATAATATTCCATCCATTGTACGTATGTACCACATTTTCCTCATCCATTTATCTGCCGATGGACACATGGATTGCTTCTGTGTTTTAGTTATTGTGAATGATTATGCTATGAACATAGCACAAATATTTCTTTGAGACTCTGCTTTCAATTATTTTGTGCATGGAATTGCTGGATCATATGATAATTCTATTTTTGATTTTTGGAAGTATCTCCATACTGTTTTTTCAGAGTGGCATATCATTTTACATTGCCACTAACAGTGCACAAAGGTTCCAATGTCTCTACATCCTCCCCAACGCTTGTTATTTTCTGTTTCTTTTGATAGTAGTCATCCCAACAGGTATCTGGTGGCATCTCATTGTAGTTTTAAGTTGCATTTTCCTAAGGATTAGTAATACTGAGCTTCTTTTCATGTGCTTTTTGGCCATTTGTATACTTTTGGAGAAACATCTATTCAAGTCCTTTGCTCAGTTTTTAATCAGGTTGTTTTTTGATTGTTGTCGAATATTAGGAGTTTTCTACATATTCTAGATATTAATCCCTTATCAGATATATACTTTGCAAATGTTTTTTTCCCATTCTATGGTTGCCTTTTTACTCTACTGATAGTATCTCTTGGTGCACAAAATTCTGAAATTTTCGTGAAGTCCGATTTATCTATT